GATGTTTCTACATCGTACAGAAGAAGATACTCTTCCAGGAGATGAAACAGAAAGAGGGGAGGATAGCCATCAGTGTGACTCTGCAGGAGCAGGGAGCCCCCAGTGTCTCAGTGAACTAATGGGTAAGACCATCCACTGGTCATGAAGGAACATGGTAAGTGGAAGGTTGGGAAATAATACCGATTTGAACTCATTTTTTAATAGAAAATAGGATAAAGATCTGGCCCTTTCTGGGAAATAGCAGAGAGACAGAAAAAAACTCCTAGGTAGCAATAGGGTCAGATATTTTTGATGATGATAAAATTGTCTATGAGAGTAATTAAAATTGACTTTATCTAGCAGCATTTATCAAGCTGAATGTGGGAACAAAGCAAAGAGATTACTGATTGGACCCAAGGTGAAGGTTTTGGTGGAAGAGAGTGGTCAAAAAGGTGAGAAAATTGAATGAGTTGTGATTGATTAGGTAGCAATGGATAATGAGTCCAGAGAGTTGCTAAAGTGATGGCTTACAAAGTCTATGTAAGATAAGAATAGACAGTCTGGGAGACAATGGAGGATATCCAGGGAAGAAGTCCCCCAAAGTTTGAAGAATTAATGTAGTGGAAAATGTAATGGTATAGTGATTAAAAACATAGGCTCTGGGGTCAGGCTGCTGGCTTCATTCTGGCCCACAAGTTAGCTAAATGTGGGCTTAGCCAGTTTATTCAATCTTTCTTAGCCTCCGTTTTCCCATTTGTTAAAGGGGTATGCTAGTAATATACCTACAGTTGTGAAGTCTAAATAAAATAATTTATATGAAGCAGTTAGCTTTGCCTGCCTGGCATATAATAAATTCTCATTAAATCTCATTTACTTAGCTAAGTGAGTGAGAGGTTATGCATGTGTGGGAGGTTGTGTTGAAAATGAGATGATGGTTTTGTGACATGTCAGAGGGGAGGCAGGAGTCTGGGGTATAAGCCTGAAGGTGAGCCTTCAGTGTGCAGTGGAGATGTCTGCACAGGAAGAAGTCAAGAAATTATGGATTAGCATCCTGAACATACCCATGGACACACCAAAGGAGATGTTCAAACTCAAGGAGTTGGATTCAGGGCTAAGCTAGGAATTCCCACTTGGGAACCACAAAGACCAAAGATAAGGGAAGCTGAAGCATTTAACAAATTAAATTCACTTCTGGTAAATATGTTCTGATATGGGAAGTCCCTGGGTGGTGCAAACAATTAAGCACTCAACTATTGGCCAAAAGGTTGGAAGTTCAAACTTATCTAAAGGCATCTCAGACAGGCCTGGTGATCTGCTTTTAAAAGATCACAGGCTTGAAAATCCTATGGAGTAGTTCTACACTACACATATGGGGTTGTTATGAGTCAGAATCAACTCAATGGCAACAGCAATATAAAGGAATTATGACAATTGGTACACTTGAAATAAATAGAAGTCTAGAAAATTTCAATACCTTCAGGAGACAGTGGGCAGCATGCTAGGTACCCATGTGTGGTAGTTCAGTTTGTGTATCAACTTGGCTGGGCCTGATTGAGTGGCTGGGCAGCTGGATGTAGTATTCCCCATGATGAGACTGGTAATCAACTCCATGGTGGGATCTACTGTGAGTAGCTGAGTAGCTGCCCTAGGGATGTGGCCTGCTTCCTGTATACCAGGAGAAGCTTTGGGGAATGGTCTTTAGCTTATAGCATGCTTGGACCCTGCATGTAGCCATATCTTTGTTCAGCAGCCTGCCATGCTCTGCCTACCTTGAGATTTACAATGGACTTGAATTAATGGCCTTCCGTGTGGTTTGGTAACATTGGGACTATGCAGTTTTATTTGTTGACCTTGGGCTTGTTAGCCTCAGCAGCCAGTAGCTTCCTGAGTGAAGAGATGCCTCTAGCTTCAGTGGGCCGGGAGCAAGAGGCAGAGCTGAAGCCCAAGTTGAGGGGCTTTCACCCAGCCCCTATAGCCTGGCACTTTGAACTTGGACTTCTAGCCTCCAAACTGTAAGAGAATAAACTCTTTGTTAAGGCCATCCCATTTGTGGTATATTCTTGTCAGAGCGGCACTAGGTAACCAGAACACCATGATAGGAAAAGCTATTTACAAGGCAGGCCTAAAAATAGAGCTTTCTCCACAGCCCTTTCTCCCCAGCTTGGAACTGGCCATGCTAGACTTTCATCTGTCCAATCAGCTGAACATCTAAACTTTCTCTCTCAAATGATCTGTAAGACTGAGCTAAGCTAAGACCCTTTTCCATGTATAATACTTTAAAATAGTGCCCTCCTCAAAAGTAATCCTCCAACTTTCCAAGCAATGTCAATCAGTGTCAATGTCAGTTACAAAAGTTGCCACTTGAAACCCCTATTCCTCTGAGGCCTGGGGTCTCACAATGCCACCTTCTCTGAAACCTTTAATCCTTTCTTCTCCTGAGTTAAATAAATCCAAGTCCATTAACTTTCCTTCTGAGGTTTCATTTTTCAATTATTTGACTGTCTATCAGTTTGACTAAATTTGAAACTATCCTCGACCATCTCAGCTATAGCCTTAAAGTAACATTTCAGTGAGTTGTCATTCCAGGATGAAGTTAAAGTCTTCACTTTTCATTTACTATTAAATAATCTGTAAGCATATGAGAGTGGGGTGGGAGGTTGAAAAATATTCTTATGATCACTATTTTATCTAATTTCTTTGGTATTTTTAATTAGATTTATTTTCATCTTGAAATTTTAGTCCTGGATATCATTGTCAGCTGCCATCAAGTCAGACTCTGATTCCTAGAGACATTATGCACAACAGGGTTGGATCATTGTGATCCATTAAGTTTTTCCTTGTCTGATTTTTTTTTTTTTTAATGTTGATCAGGTCTTTCTTCCCACTTTGTCTTAATCTGGAAGTGCTGATGACATCTGTTCAGCTTTATAGCATCATGCAAACTTCCACTGATAGATAGGTGGTAATTGAGCATGAGGTGGGTATACTGGCCAGGAATCGAACTTAGATCTCCTATAAAGAAAGCAAGAATTCTACTACTGAACCACTGTGAAAAATCCTAATTAATCCACAAGGACCTTTTACTTCTTCTGACATGTTCCAGTGAGTTATCTTTTCATGTATTTTGCCATTCTTCATTCTTTTAATCCCAGCTGAAGGGCCATATAAAAAGGTGTAAAGCAATTAAGAAGTTTTTCTCAAACTTAAGATTTCAGATATCTATCAAATATGATAGATATCTGAAACACCTTTTACACCTTTTTATATGGCTCTTCAGCTGGGATTAAGATGAATATAATATGATTGGAAACAAAGCTTTTTTAACATCCTCCTTTGCATACCAATATATTTATTCTTAAAGACCATCTCTGCACCAACGATGTCATAATAATTACAAAAATAATTTAAATTACAGATGTATTTTCTTCTGGTTTTCTGAAACCTTCTCTCTAATGGAGATAGGCCTGAAGTTAAAAATGACTTGGATAAGCAATTTGTCTTTAAAATATCCCTTTTCTGTAGCTTTTACTTATTACTGACAAGATTCCTATAACATGCAATAAGCAATTATAGAAAACAAGAGTACCAAGTTGGGAACACTAATTGCAGATGACACTGAACTTTAAAATATGTACTAAGAGTTTTAAATTTTGGTTTTAAACTTTATAACATAGATGAGAGTAAGAGATCTCATATTCCCAAACCAAAATAATAATAAAGTAAAGGGGTATTTTTGTTATGATGACTTCCTGAGAGTAAGATCCATGTTACTATAAATATTTTCTTAAAGTCCTAATAAGTAAATGACCTACTTCAAAACTAAACTCAGAATAAGTTCTTCCTTTCGGTGTCCCTAAACATGGTAACTTGCATCCTTCCTTTATTTACCAAAGACTTATCAAAGAAATGTAAGCCCTTCATTCATTCCCAAAGATGCATTTCCAAAGCATTAAGTCTTTTCAGAAAGTGAAATAGATGACTTCAAAGGGCATGTTAAGTTTTTTGTTTGTTTGTTTGTTTTAAAGAAGTCCAACTCAGAATCTGTAACTAGAGTCTGTAACCAGAAAAATTAGCACATATGTGGCTATATCTACACATATTTATTACTGGAAGTTAACTTCAATGAAATTAAATAAAATGACTATAAAATAAGACCTTCAGTTTCTCATGATGGGAAATGAGAAATCAAAGCAATTTTTGAAAACTTCTACAACCTGTCCTTTGGAGGAAAACATTGAATGGCTTAGTTATGAAAGTCACGGATACTCTGTACAAACCATACAACATTTCAGTACTAAAAACCAAAACCAAAAAAAACTAAATGTGTTGCCCTGTGAATCGATTCTGACCATATAAGACAGAGTAGAACTGTCCCACAGGGTTTCCAAGTCTGCAATATTTACAGAAGCAGACTGCTATATCTTTCTCACATGGAGTAGCTGGTGGGTTTGAACTGCCAACTTTTCAATTAGCTCAGGTTAAGCTCAGGGCTTAACCAGTGAGCAACGAGGGCTTCTTTTAAGTTCTAAAAAGGCTTATATATGGATATCAATAATACTAAATAGCATATTGGCTTTTGCTTCATAAACTGTAACACTTACTTGATGAGTCACGGAAATTTTGAATTATTTTTAGTCCATTCAACAGGCTTGAGATTTACCTTAAGAAATATTTGCAAAAGGCAAAACAAAGTACTCCAAAGTGACACAGGTAAATCAGGCAAAACGCCACTCAAATGGCCTAGGGGTTTTTGTCTGCTTGTTTTTCCCTAAGAGACAATAAAGCTGATCTTGTTACCTGGCACCCTGGTGTTTCCCTGCCCATTCAGTCTTTAGCAGGGGTCTGGAAATAGAGGAGACCTCTTAACTCCTTCAGATGCCTCTGGCTCCTAGGTTTCACCCTGCGAGAACCTCTAAGCCTCCCACCGAAAATCTCTCCAAGGAAGTGTTTCCCTTCTCTAATAATCTCCAAGATCCTGGGGAGCTGAGTCCCTACCCCAGCTTGGCTGCCCCCGAGCTCACCGGATAATCACGAACATGACCAGAGAGTTGCCCACCAAGCCCACCACAAACACCACCGAGTAGACCGCGGTGATGATGATGGGGATGACCGGAGATATGTGCGCGGGCTCCAGCGGCACGTCCTCCCGGCTGGCGCTGCCGTTGTCGTTGCTGTCTGGCTCGGCCCAGCTCGGGAACCAGCTGCTGCTGTTGGGGAGCAGACAGGTGCTTGGGGTACAAGTGGGGATCGGGTCTCCGCGGAAGATCTGTACCGGTGGCTCCATGGTCGGCGGCAGTGCCTGGCGGACTAGCGAGGAGGGCAACACCTAAAGGGCGGAGGAGAATGAGAGGACTGGCTGGGTCCGGAGACGCAAACTTTGCGCCAGGGCCAGCTCGCAGAAGTCACAGGCTCTGGAAGCCGAGGGCCTTCGGTTCCGACTCAGGCCTCATGTCCCCGGGAACAGGAACGAGAAGACTGACCTCTCACTGCCACCAGACCAGCAAATACGCAGCCGGGCGCTGGGCGGGCACTCTTGAAATACCCTCACCCATCCTAGGCAAGGTTCCCTAGTGACAAGCTTCCCCAGACCGCCAGCATGAGCTCTTAGGAACAAGAGGTCCCTAAGCACCGAGCCCTTGTTGCCAAGGACTATGCCTTGAAAGCAGCAGGCTCACCTCTGGCTCCCAGAGACCGGCTGGTCTCACCGGCTCCCAATGGAGTCCTAAGCCGCGCACCCCGGGTCCACCCAGGGTGCACTCAGCTCTGGCAGCTGCTGAGCACCTACAGTCCCAGTTGTCTCTCTGACACTGGCATGCCTTGCACGCCAAGCGCTGTCCCCCCAGCACAGTGTGCTTCACAAGACCAGTGGCAGCTCAGCACCAGGAGTCCGCAGCAGGAGAAGCAACCGGGGACTAAGGGTGGAACAGAAGCCCCCTGGACCCGCCCCTGACATTCATGTGGCCACCCCAGCTGCATGTGTGCCCCCACCACCACCCGCAATGCTCTGCAGTTTCACCCTGGTCTGGCAGGCTTACCCGGTTCCTTTGTCTCCCAGCCCAGTGAGCACAGGCGTGCTACTTTGGTCCTGCAGCTCTCTGTGCAAACCACCCGGCTGCTTAGACTTAATAATGAAGGGTGTGTCTGTTCAGTAGGATTAGGCATCTGGATGGGTTGTGTTGCATCTAGAATTTAGTGAAGGCGTAGTTCATAGGATATAGCTTCTTTTAGGAGAGTAGAAAAACGTGTTTATTTGAAGGACCCATCCAAGCAAAGTAGGCAAAATGATCCAGTTAGGATAAGACTAGCTCATAAAATATTAATGATTTAAGAGAGAAAGAATCTTTCTGTGCATTCTGCTACTTTTATTCCCTCTGCCTCGCTATCCCAGCAGGCAGCATTCACACTGCCCCTCCTAGGCCATGCATCCTGGTCTTACCTGTGTAAGAGTTTCTTCACCCAAGTGTCAGAAATGGTCTCCTAGTCTTAAATTAATTCCCTGAGGCTACAATGCCTCCTCTATTAACCCCCCAAGAATCTGGAGCCCCAAAGAGAAATTCATTCACCACCATTTCTTCACATAACTCTCTCAGTCCAAGGAGCAGTGTGAGAGTCCATATGGGATATGTGTGTGGGGAGGGGGACCAACACCCTCAGGGCAAAGAGGCCAAGGGACAATGTTACAATGGTAAGAAATCAAAGGTGGAATCATTGATAATCCCGATATACTTGTGGGAAAAAGGAAATGTAAGCAGAAGAAAGCCAGGACTCATGTTCCCTCCAAAGAACAGCCCCTGAAGGGATAGGTGGATTTCCAGTCTCCAGTTAGGTATTCTCCATAGCAGGAGGTCATAAGACAAGGGTTAAGCCCCTTAGTTTCCCACATAGATTCCTTGGGACAAAGGCATAGGGCCCCTACTCCTTCCCACTAGTTCGTTTCCATGACTCACCTAAATTGGTTGCCAGTAGAGTTGGCTTTGACTCATGGAGACCCCATGTGTATCAGAGCAAAACTGGACTCACAAGGTTGTCAATTTTTTTTTTTAGAAGTAGATCACCAGGCATTGCTTTCAAGACACCTCTGGGTGGATTCAAATCTCCAATCTTTTGGTTAGTAGCTCAGAGTGTTAACTGTTTGCTTCAGTCAGGGACTTATGATTGATCTAGAGGCACCACAATGGTTGACTGTTCAGTCAGTGACAGCCAGAAGAGGGTCTTGCACCTCTTTTAAGACACAAATCCCAAACAGGAGATGAACAGCAGTCTTTCCACAACCTTGCAAATACACTGTACCCATGAGCAGTGTGATTTGAGGTACAAAGGGAAAATTTTCTTTAAATAAGAAAGGAAAAGTTATTACTTGAAAAGATTTAACTAAAGTATTTGAGTGGTAAAAACTTTAAAGAGATTGCCATGTTGATACAATTCAAACAAATTAAACTCTCAATTTCCCCTTCTCACATATGTGTAGTGAACGGGAGGGTTTTTTGTTGAGAAAATACATCTCTAAATAAAGCAGGATGTAGAACTCAGCCTACGAAGATCCTCTAATTCTAATCTTTGATAAGAAACCTAGACCAGGTGAGTCAGTCCTTTGAAGGTAAAACAATGTAAATTATGATCAAAGTAGTTTTGCTTCATTTTAGTACTCCTATTTTATTTTATTTTTTTTAGCAAATTAATGGCTAAAATGAAGTGAAGCCTAAATTAAGAAGCTTCCCTCTGCTCTGGTTGCCAGGGGAACCTGGCCAGTGTCTCTGTACACACTGAGGACAGCTGTTCATGTAGAACCAGGTTTTATGGAATATGGGATTCTATCAGAAGAGTGGATACAATTTACCCAAAGGAAGGAAATATAAACTGCTAAAATAATGCACACAAAATATACCCTGATATAAAGCATTTATTATTAAACTTGATGTTATTATGGAACTCCAATGGAGTAGTGGATAAAGCACTTGACTGCTAACCTGAAGGTCAGTGGATCAAACCCACCAGCTGCTCCATGGAAGGAAGATAGGGTGATCTACTCTTGTGAAGATTTACAGCCTCAGAAACCCAATGGGGGTCGCTATGAGTCAGAAACGACTCGATGGTAGTGAGTTTGTTTTATTATTATTATAATCTCTTTCTGACATTCTGCACAATGGCAAGCACTATGTTTACACCTATAAGTAAACCATTTTCAAAGTTGAAAATGCATTTTCAGGGATTTTTTTAGGCTTCATTATTATTATTATTTTAAATTTTACTGTGATTTGAGTAAATCACAGAGCAAATTGGTTTTTCATTCAACAATCCATATTCTGTTTTGTGACATTCAGTGCAGTCCCCACAATGCAACACCTCTTTCCACTTCCTCCTCTTGCCAACCACTTCCTTTATCCTTTCTTCCCTTCCTCTCCCCTCCCACCTTCCTGGGTAAATGCTACCCCCTTGATCTCATATATAAGAGCTCTGGAGGCATAGTGCCTATGGCATTTGACTGCAAACCAGAAGGTTAGCAGTTCAAATCCATCAGCCACTCCTCAGAAGGAAGGTTGGGCAATCTACTTCCAGAGTGATACTACTTCAGAAACCCAAGGAGGGGGCACTATGAGTCAGATCTGACTCAACAACAGTGCACCTTGCATTGATCTCATATGGTTGATTGTTCTGATCAGTGTATCTTTCCTGGTACCATTCTTTACCTTTTAGGCCTTTCTATCATTTGGCTGAAGGTTGAGCTACAGATGTTGAGTTCAATTCCCAGTTTGAAGGGTGTGTAAGGGCCATAATCTCAGTAGTTCCCCTAGTCTTCATCAGACCAGCAAGTCTGATTTTTTTTTTAATGATTTTGAGTTTTGTTCCATGTTTTTCTCCCACTCTATTCAGGTCCACCTATTGTGATCCTTTTCCAGAATGGTCAGCAGTGGTAGCTAGACATCATCTAATTCTTTTGGTTTCAGGGTCATGGAGGCTGGGGTTCATGTGGCTCATTAGTCCTTTGGACTAATTGTTTTCCTGTGTCTTTAATTTTCTTCACTCTTCTTTCCTCAGGACAGGAAAAGACCAAGAGTTGCCCCTGAGGTTGTCACTCACAACCTTTTAAGACCCTAGTCATTACTCACCAAAATAGGATGTAGAATATTATGTTTGTGGGCTAAGTTATGCCAATTGACCTTAGTGTCCCCCAAGACCATGGTCCTGAGTCCCCATACCCATCAACTCATTCCTTTGTCAAAAAGTCAGTGGGGCCCCAATACTCTCTATAATTACAATTATGTTTTATACCTGAATGGTTGAAAAGAATATGAACTGAAAGTAAAGCAAAAACCTGAAGACCCATTTTATTCTAGACTTCCCTGTGGAACAGCTTGTACCCTGGGAGAAAGTACTGTATACAAGGTTACTATATACAAGCTACTTGCTTCTCTCTTTCCTGTCCCTCTGCCATTCCTCACTTCAAATCACATCTGTGGAAAGAGAACCACAGAACCTGCCTGGTGGCAGGTAGGAGCACTGCACCCTTGGAACAAGGATGTTCACCCTGTCAGTGTGTAGGAGCTTTGGCCTTCAAGGACTCGACTCTGGAGCATGAAGTTTGCTGCTTCCCTAGACCACGTGTGTGAGTATTCTCTGTGTGCACCACAAACTCCTTCTCCACCTTCTTCACTCTGCTTTGTTCCCAGAAGGTTCTGGTTAAGTCCAGGCAGCAAAAGGCCCCTGGCAAGAGGCAAGAGGACAAGAAGAGAGTAAAGTTGTGAGTTTTTGCCTAGTTCCCCCACCCTTGACTGGGGCACAGGGGAATGCCTGTATCCCTCGTTCAGGGTACAATCCCTTCTCACAATGACAAGAACACCTTCTTGCTTCTTAAGCAGTAAGCAGTTCAATAAAAACTCCCTCCTGTTTCTTTCGCCGGGATCATGAATTTCCCTTTTGTGATTCTCCTAAGCTCTTCCATTCATGAAATTTCCTTAGTTATTGAGACTAAAGGGTGGTCTGTCTACCCACATTTCCTGGTTGACAAGGTCATTGTTCATAGAAGTCTCTGTGCTGAGAGGAGTGAGCTGGGTCATGTAACCTCATAGACACTGCATGACTCAGTTAACTAACATTCATAGAGTAGAAAATTGGTTGTGGTATTCTCAAAGCTCATTTCAAGAGTCCATTTGTGTGTTTGATCATCCATCTTCCTAGATCTCTGTCTAAGTCTGAAATGATACTACCATGTTGATGTTCTAGGGGAGAGCTTAGCTTTGAATTATGTTGGAATTAATGTCATTAGTGCCACCACACCATATTACTACAGAGGAA